CTAATCTTCTTTCTCTGTTTCCCTATTCTTATGGCACGGTTCTTTGTCGCGATCCGGATCGGCATAGCGGTGGGGGAATTGAGGTAGTAGTGGGAGAGGAGGATAGTAGTGGGAGAGGAGGATAAGACGAGATCAGGGGAGTATGTCGAGATAGTAGTGGGGGAATAGGGGTATGAGCATTTCCTGATTTATGCGTATCATCTATGCTTAGGGGCAATGCTAATCTTCTTTCTGTGTTCCCCATTTCTTATGACACTCTTCTTTATCTAACGGGGGGAGAGTAGAGCAAAGGCTGTGCTCAGAGGCCATGCTAATCTTCTTTCTCTGTTTCCCTATTCTCATGGCACGGTTCTTTGTCGCGATCGGGATCTGCATAGAGGTGGGGAAATCGGGGTAGTAGTGGGAGAGGATCAAGGCATTTGTCGATTTATGCGTATTATCTGTGCTCAGGGGCCATGCTAATCTTCTTTCTCTGTTTCCCTATTCTTATGGCACGATTCTTTGCCGCGATCGGGATCTGCATAGCGGTGGGGGAATCGGGGTAGTAGTGGGAGAGGAGGGTAATACGAGATCAGAGATAGTGGTGGGGGAGTCGGGGTATCGACGGGAGTGGATAAGATGGCACACGTGGTGACTGCCACGTCAGCCTTGCAATTAGTCCGCTTATCCGCTCTTCCGGAGCAAAGGTGAAGCCGACGTCAACAGAAAGGCATGGCGTCGTGTGCTTCTCCAGAAACTCATCAGCAAGCCTGAGGAGGGTCAGGGGGGGAAGAAATGGGGAGGGAGGAGAAAAATAGGGCACCTGGAGGAGGCAGTGATTAGGATCGCCCCGATCAGGATGGGGTACTGGCGAAGAAGGGAGGATTGCCCTGATTGGGATCGGGATAGTGGTGGGGGAATCGGGGATTAGGGAAGTACGAGTCAGGGGGGCGGGATTGGGGATTAGGGAAGTACGAGTCAGGGGGGCGGGATCGGGGATTGTGCAAGTCGGGGAGGATCGGTGACTGGAGTAGTAGAAGGGAGAGATGAGAAATAGGGATCAGGGGGGATTTGAATTTCGTTTTTTTTTTTTTTTGCTTTATCGGCTTTTCGAAAATCATTTTTGTTTTTTTCTCAACATTTCTTGATTATGCGTATCATCTATGTTTAGGGGCGATGCTAATCTTTTTTCTATGTTTCCCATTTCTTATGACATGGTTCTTTATCTAACGGGAGGAAAGTAGAGCAAGGGGAGGATGATAGTGATAATTTCGTTTGTGAGTTGGGAAGAGGGAAAAAGGACTGCAACTTCCTTCTCGACCCAGCATCCCTGGCGGTTTGTCCCTCACCATATGTTCTGCAGGACTACATTCTTTTATTATCAGAGATGAAAAAACCATTCCGATTTCCTTTTTTCTTTTTTCACTCTTTTTATTTTCTCTTTCTTTGTCATATATGTCCACTAGTGATCATTTGCAGTATGTAAATTGTTTTTATTTGAATATGTTGAAATCTAGGCTACCGGCCGGGCCGCCTGGGTTTCGGATGGCCAGCCTATGTAAGGACCGAAGAAGCTCCCACGAAAAAAGAAAAAAAAAAAAACCCGAAAAATCCAGATGTTATTTCTATTTTTTGGGGCCCGACCAAACAAGTAACCCGGGGCCACTCTGCTGGCCTGGGTTAAAATTTTATTCCCGTTATTTGTAAAAATATTTGCAATGATGATCACTGAAAATCTTCGATTTAGTATCATTTAAATGTCTTGAAATTTTGTTTCTATTGTTTCTAATGCTATTTGTTAATTTAAATGTCCTCGCTATTTGACAATTTTTATTTCCGTTCCAATGCATTGGCATTTTTGGTCCTTGATTTTGCAATTCGGTTTGTCTTTATTTTTGGGACCTTTTGTTTTTGTAACAACTCAAAAATCACATTCATGATTTTGTCATATCCTTCCAATAGTGACAACTGCAGACTTTTGAAGCTCGTCCTGATTTTTTTTGTCAAATTTCATGGCTATTTGTGTGTTCTTTTCCATTTCTACTATTGTTACATGTTTCTTCATTCTTATTTCCTTTCTATTATCGGTCTCCTTTTAACAATATCCCAATAGATGCAGAATCTTCTCTCACTGCTCAACGTCGCTCGACACAAGGAGCACGGTTGCTTTTGCATCGTCAAAGACAACAACGATTCAGACGAGCTCATCTTGAAACCATACAACCTCGGATAGATACAATCGGCTAGAAAACCTTCATGAGTTATGTCTTTTGATGGATAACGAGCCGAACACACGTGAAGTTGTGGTTCGCCGACGTGGAGGCGACATTCTATCTGTTGCTGACACCAACCGCGCTTTCGATCCCCTGCATATTATGTGTTACTTTTTCCCTCTGGTGATAATGGCTGGTCTGCAGAACTTGAAGACCACGCCGACACCAATACCCATCGAATCGGTGCATGGGAATCTCAATACACATGACACAGAACGTTCAACCATATTCCGTGCATCACGCCTATTTCA